ATTTTTTAATTAATTATTTTTTATGTGAGTGATGATTATTTATTTGTTAACAATAAAAATTATTTATTTATACATAATAAAAAATAATTTATCATTAATAATTTTTTTTATTTATAAATGATTTTAGATATAAATTTATAAAATAACTTTTGTATACAATATATCATAAACATGTAAAATATATTTAATCATATAATATAAAATAAGAATAATTTATATTAAATTTATAAACTTATGTTAGAATTAAATTTATATTAAATATGTAACATAAATTAATAATATGTTTCATAGTTTTTTTTAATTTAATTTTTTATCTCATACTTTGAATGATAACATTATTTTTATGTTAATTGTATTAAATTTAAATAATACTTATTATTTATTACGTCATCCGGTTCGACCCCGGTTAGACCGGTCGAACCGGTCGAACCATGAACCTCTCCTTGTTCCGGTTCGTTGTCCGGTCCGGTTTTCAAAACCTTGATGAAAATACACGTCATTTTCGCCCGTTTTTTCTCTCTCTTGGCGATTCTAGTGAGAGAAGCTTTAGGGATGGCATGGGGAGACCGAAGGTCACCTCCCCGCCCAAGTGGGGGCGGGAGTGATTTCAACGTCGGCAGCGAAGATCGGCAACGATCTAGCGGTGGGTCCGGTGGTGCGAAGAAGCTAGAGGATCGTTCTCCTGGTACGGTTGCGGGGAGTAAGGCAAAAGGAAAAGGTAGAGATACGGCAAAATCTGGATCGGATGGATCTGCTGAAGGTCGGTGGGAGGTTAAGCCTCAAATCTGGTTTCTAAATTGCAGCAGTAGGAGGCTAAGACTGAGGGCATTCATACGCGTGCGATGACGAGTAAGATGGAGGATTCTCCTCCTAAGATGAAGATGGAGCTGGTGTCGACCTCGAAAGTTAGTATGATGCTCAACCCGACGTACATCGGGTTGGATTCATCGATGGAGGTGGAGGAGATTGATCTGATCGTGGGTAGGGAGGATATGGAGGAGGTATTTGATGTCGATGCTGCTATGCCTGGACGAGACAGTTCAATGGAAATTATTCCAGAATGTGATGATCAGAGTCGGGATTTGAAGGTGGGAGCGGAATGTTCGATGGAAGTGAGTTCTACGTCGAATGAGCTGAATAATGTTGATATTGACAATGCTGGTATGTAAGGAATTTCTTTCGTTCCGGATTGTGGTTTAGCTGCTGCTGATACTACAGGGGTGAATAGAGTTGAGGTCGGCTCTTCTAGAGTATCAACTCGATGAACAACATTTTAAGTGCATGTGGAAATGCTGCTTCAGACAGCTCTTCTGCAAGCCTGGGGAATGTTGAAGGGAAAACCGTGAGTAGAGGGCCCCTGTTTTCTATAGGAATTGGCAATGCTTGGAGGAAGCCGGATCACATTCCGATCCCTCTTCCAGAAGAGATAAACGCTATCTCATCGGACGGGACCTCAGTTTATCTTAATTTGGAAGAGGTTAAGACCAATGTGACAATGCTTGAGAGAGCTATGGTTGGGAAGATTTTGGGAAGACGAGTTTCTTATTTCATGCTGAAGTCGGAGATCCATTGGCAGTGGGGGAGATTCGATGATTTCCAGCTCACTACACTTGGTTTTGAATGTTTTGTGAGTATCTTCTCGTCGATGGAAGCTAGGGACGCTGTCCTGTGGGGTGGGCCTTGGTTTATCGATGGAAACATTATGGGACTAGATCGTTGGACGCCTGGTTTTTCTCCGGCATCTATGGAGGGTCTGTCCTCCTCTGTTTGGATACGCCTTCCTAATCTCCCATTTCATTATTGGGATGCCTGTAATATCTCTAGGATTGCTTCACGAATTGGGACTCTGCTTTGGATCAATGCGCAAACAGGCAATTGGGGGAGACGGGAATACGCTCATGTCTGTGTTCATATGAACCTTGCTAATAAGCTTATGGCAGGAGTTTGGGTTAATGGTATGAATGGTATATTCTACCAGAAAGTGGAGTATGAGGGTATTGGTACGCTCTATTATGGGTGTGGCAAAGTTGGGCATCGCCGTGAGCAATGTCCATTGAAAAGTGTTGGACAAGGAGAAATTCCTATAAAGAAGATGGTGGATTATGTGAAACCGAGTGGAACAGGTGAGGCTAGCTCAGCCCATATCCCGATCAGCATTGGAAGGAAGATTGGCCCCTCTATGGTGAAAATGGAAGGTAATACACTAAAAAAAGCTTCTGAAAGCCGGGATAAAGGCAAGGGAGTGGAGTTGCAGCAAGATAAGGAGGTTGACAATAGCAGGAATGGGGCCATTACTCAAGAAGAGGAGGATCAGATGGGGCCTTGGATCCAAGTTCCTCCATGTAAGAGAAGGAGTGCCCGTGTTCAGGGAAGGCCTCAGGAAAATGGGGGTAATAAATATAGTCTAAATATCTTGAAGCAGGTGGATTTGAATAGAATACAGGAACACCATAGTAATGTCAAGCCAACTTGTAAGCAAATGAGGATAGGCTTTCAAAAGCCATTGCCATTTACGGCAGGAATTAAACCTGTCCTGCCAAAGGCTATGAGATACAAGTTCGCGATGGAGGGGAGTCAACTGGGTACTATCGAGGAGCTCCCGAGGAAGAGAAAAAAAGTATGGAGTAGAAGAATTTAGTGGCGGGGACGCTTCCCCTTCGGTTTATTAATGTCATATATCCTGTTTTGGAATTGCAGGGGTGCCCGTAAGAAGAAGACTGCTTACTACATGCGAAGCCTCATTAGTAGCAATGAGGTCTGCTTCGTTGGGCTTATTGAAACTATGATTGAAGACATAAGTAGAAGTGAGGTTGATAGACTCATTGGAGGTAACTACGACTTCTTCCATTTCCTTGCAGTGGGAAAAACGGGGGGTCTGCTTGCCTTGTGGAGAAGGGGCGTTATACAGTTTGATGTCTTTCATACTATTGATCAGGCTGTGGTTGGCCATTTGATGCTACCCAATCGGCATAGGTGGATTGTTGCTATTGTTTACGCCAATCAAAACTACCACACTCGTCGGCTGCTATGGAATTCTATCAGTCTGATAATTAGTATGGATCTTCCTATGATAATGAGGGAGATTTCAACTGTTGTTTGGATCAAAGTGAAAAGAAGGGAGGTAGAAGATTCGACTTCTCTGCTGGAGCTCGGGAAATGACTTCATTCATGGTGGATAACGACTTACATGATCTAGGTTTCCTGGGACTCAGATATACGTGGTCCAAAAATAAGAATGGTAGCAGCAAAATATGGGTGAGGCTTGATAGGGTGTTAATGAATTCGGAAGGATTAAGGTTGGCCCCGCTGGTTACCGTTAAGCATCTCATCCGAATTGCCTCTGGTCATTGCCCGTTACTGCTTAACTTTACTCCCATTACTCATAACTCCAGAAGTTGGCTGAGGTTTGAAGATATTTGGATGATGTATCCGATTACGTGAAAGCTGGTGTGGAAGAGCTGGATCAAACAAGATTTTGGGCGACCAGATGAAGTCCTGAACCGTAAATGCTCTAGGATGCTTAAGGTGTTGTTCTTTTGGAGCCGTAATAGCTTAAAGGACCTGGGGGAGTTAAAGCTATCATTGGAGGGACGAATTGAAGAACTTCAATTGCAGGAGAGCACGGAGGATGGCTTGTCTGAAGACCATCAACTGGAGCTCCGGAGGGAAACTGGTGAGTTGAATGCCACTTTGGCACGTCTAGCTACCTGGTGGAGGCAGAGAGCAAAGACTAAATGGATTGAAGAAGGAGACTCCAACTCTCACTTCTTCCATTCGAATGCTTCGGCTCGTAGGAGGGGCAACAGAATTGTGGAAATCCAGAATTCAAATGGGGATAAGATTTTTGATCAAAAGCTCATTTAGGAGGAATTTTGGAAGTTTTTTATGTTAAAGTGGAAGGAACGGCAAGTCTCTTTGTGCAATTGGCAAGAATTTTCAATTAGTGATATGGTCCTGGATGATCTGAACACTATGCTGGAAGCGGAGGTCATGGAGCTGGAGGTTCGTTATGCAGTTTTTAGCTTGGGGAACAACCGAGCACCTGGCATCGACGGTATCACTCCCTCCTTAAAATTTTACTGGGAAATCATCAAAGATGATGTTACCCGTGCTATTCTTTATTTTTTCTCCACTAATTCTATGTGTGAAAGCTGGAAAGACACCTTGGTTGTCCTTATTCCAAAGACAGATCATGCTAATTTACCTTCCAAGTTTAGGCCTATCAGCATTTGCCAATCATTCTACAAAGTGGTTGCTAAGGTGCTGATTAATCGGCTCAAACCGATCCTGAGTAGCATAATCAGTAAAGAGCAGGGGGCTTTTATCCTGGGAAGGTCTATCTCTAGTCATGATTTGGTGGCGTAAGAGATGATAAGCAAGTTCAAGTACTCATCCCAAAAATCTGGCTTGATGGCACTAGAAGTGGATATGGAGCAAGCATACGACTGTATGTCTTGGGATACTTTGGAAAAAGTGATGAAACTCATGGGCTTGAAGGAGCAGTTTATTTGTTGGGTGACCCAATGTATTACTTGGCCGAAATTCACTATATTGATCAATGGGGCTAGAACCCAGTGGATCAATGCTAGAAGTGGGCTACGACAGGGGTGTCCGTTATCGCCTTATCTGTTTATCCTCTATTCGAAACTTTTGACGAAAGCTTTCCGACATAGAGGAGGGAAGCTAAGTATCCAACTTGTCAGAAATTCAGACAGGATTTCATACTTATTGTATGCTGATGATATATTAGTATTTGCGGAGGCCTCCCAGAGCAATGCTACTCGTATCATTCGTCTGTTGGGAGATTATTGTGGCTGGACAGGCCAGCAGATTAACTGTGGTAAATCTGCAATTCTGTTTAGTAAGAAATGCCCTACTTGGAAGAAAAGGTTGATTGCCAGACTTATGGAATTATAGATAGGTTGATTCCCTCGAGTATCTGGGGTTGCCTCTGGTCATGAGGAAGCCGGTTACGACAGATTTTGGCAATTTAAATAAAAGTGCACAAGGCAAGATAAACTTATGGGGGAAGAAACATTTATCCTATGCAGGTAGAGCTCTTCTGATCAGGACAGCTCTATTATCCATCCCTATGTATCTCGTTACCGATACCACGGTTCCGCATGGGGTCCTTAATACGATTGAGAAGATAGCGAAGAGATTTTTGTGGCAGAAGGACGCGAATAGTAGAGGGATGCATTATGTAGCATGGAAGGAGTCATGCCAACCCAGGTCGAAAAGAGGGCTGGGATTTTACAGTCTAGTGAAGTGGCAAGGAGCTCTTTAAGCTCGGTTGGCATGGGATTTGCTTCAGAATCCTGACTTCCTCTTGTATAAACTGCTGCTTGCCAAGTACGGGATGGAAATGTGGAGTGACTTCATGGCAGAAATGTTTCTATCACTTGGAAGGCGATCCAGGACGGGGCTTCTGCTCTTCGACACATTCTACGGTGGAAGATTGGAAATGGCCAAACAATTGATGTGCTTCATGATACTTGGATATTGGACAGGGCGATTGTATTAACAGATATGAATAAAAAATTCAATAATGTATTTCTTAGAATAAGTTAGCCGTACAATCATGTTAAAGAATTGTACGGAGGCAGTTTCCTTTATCCTCTATATAAAGCAATGTATATTGTAGGTACAAAGCAAGAAATACAATTTATTACTTTTCCCCATTCTTCTCTCTGGTTTTGTTTCTGAAAAGCTATGGTAAGAACCTGCAGCCTAAAGGCAAATCAGGTTAACATGGTATCAGACTAGCCATTCGACTGGTTCGTATCTTTCTTTTCTCTTCTATTCCTCACCATGGCTGGATCCTCTGTTTCTTCTCCTTCCGCAAATTCAAACTCATCCATCTCGTCCATGGCGATTCCAACCCAACTCAAATTCTTGATGAACAACATCAAGAATCTGATCCCCACCTCCCTCGCGGCAGATAATTATTCGCTCTGGAAATCTCAGACCGAGAGGGTTTTCACAGCTAGTGGCTTCAAAGGCTTTCTTGACGGAACTACTCCGTCTCCTCTGCCTTCTGCAACAACAACTGGATTGCCCACTTCAGGCGATCCATCGGCGCTCGAACTCTGGAATCTCACCGATCAACATCTAGTTGTAGCGTTATATTCTGTAATCACTCCCTCCATATTACCCTACGTTCTTGATCTCACTCACTGTCATGAACTTTGGTCCACCCTAGCTCATCGCCTTCAAGCCACTACCCGATCAAGAATCATTCAGTTAAAGAATGACTTGCATCATCTGTCGAAAGGCGATAAATCTATGACCCAATATCTCCTGGAAATCAAATCCAAGGTTGATGCAATTCAAGCAACGGGTCATACCATAGATCCGGAGGATGTGATACTATACACGCTCAACGGCTTACCGTCCTCCTACCAATCATTCAAAACAGCTATCCGAACAAACCTCCAACCTCTCTCTCTTGATGATCTTTACAGCCTACTATGCAGTGAAGAATAGCTCCTACTTCAAGAAGCCACCAAAGATCTGCAAACCATGCAGATCACTGACAATTCTGTTGCATTCGCTGCCTCTCGAGGCCATGCTAGAGGCCGGAACAATACCTACAGAGGTAACAGAGGTCGTAGACAATCCACTCCCACGGGAAGAGGCGACAAGAACCCTCACAGAAACACCACCTGTCAGATCTGCTCGAAGACAGGGCACTCTGCGATTCGTTGCTGGTATCACAATGATCCAGCCTACTCAAATAACTCAAACAATTCAGCTTTGTTCTCGACCCCAGATAACAACAGATCAACTGATTGGTTCTTGGACAGTGGAGCTTCATCTCAGCTCACGGCGGATCAATCGCAGTTATCTGTAACTGAACCATAGTACGGCAACTCTCAGGTAATTTTGGGAAACGATCAATCTCTTCCGATACAGAATACAGGTAAAGGCCTTCTCCCAACCCCCACAGGTAAACTCTGTCTCAAAAAGATCATCATGTTCCCAATCTCTCTTTTAATTTACTTTCGGTTCACCAACTAACAACGGATAACAATTGTGTGGTTTCTTTCTCTTCTCATGGCTATCAAATAAAGGACTCGAAGACGCATCGTCTTCTGCTTCAAGGTCCATGCCATAACGGTCTGTACAGAGTCCCCTCCAAGGTTCGAAATCAGCAATTAGCTCTGCTCTCGACTGAAATCATTCCGGACTTATGGCACAGTCGTCTTGGTCACCCTGCTTCTCCGGTCTTACAACACTTAGCTAGAACAGATTCTACTATTTGCACATCCACACACAATAATTGTAACACATGTTGTCTGGCCAAGAGCCGACGCCTTCCTTTTACTACTTCTACGTCCAAAACTACTACTTTATTTCAAATTGTGCACTCTGATGTTTGGGGCCCTTCCCCAATTGCCTCTATTCAAGGCCATAGATATTTCGTCTCCTTCATAGATGATTTTTCTAAATATTGTTGGATCTTTCCCATGTTTCAAAAATCTGAAGTTACAAAATTGTTTGTTCTTTTTCACAAATTTATTAACTGCCAATTTTCCATCAATATTAAAACGATTCGAACAGATGGTGGAGGTGAATACGCTAACAACTCATTCACCAACTATTGCAGACAGTGGGGCATCCAGCACCAATTCACGTGCCCCTACACTCCGCAGCAAAATGGCGTTGCGGAGCGAAAGAACAGACATATCCTTGAAACTGTCCGAAGCCTTCTCATTCACAACCATGCTCCGCCTCAACTATGGGTAGACGCGCTGCACACCGCAATTTATCTCATTAATCGTCTTCCTACAAGCACCCTCAACAACAATACCCCATTCCAGCAATTATACAACCATCCCCCCGCCTATTCTCACATGAAGATCTTTGGGTGTTTGTGCTATCCCTCGCTTCGCCCATACGTTCACTCCAAACTCACTCCTCTGTCGCGTCCTTGTATTTTTATAGGCTATGCTTTAAACCAGAAAGGGTACAGATGTATGGATATTGCTACAAGAAAAGTATACACTTCAAGGCATGTAGTATTTAATGAAAGTGTCTTTCCCTTTCAGCAGAATCAGCTCACTCACACCACGGGAGACACTCACAAACACAATTTCGTTCCCCCACTGTTGTTAGTTCCGTCCACTTTAATCCACAGCACTCAGCCTTATCACAACACCAGTTCCAACTCACCTCAACCCAACCACGCCGAACTCACACCTGAGAACTCTAGTTCCTCCAACACAAACCAAAACTTCTCACCGAATCTGCTACCTCCCGAAATACCCAAGCATCCAATGCGTACCCGCTTTCAAACTGGAAATCTAAAGCCCAGACGTATTCTTGATTTAACGCACCATATAACGGAGGACCCTACTTCATACTCTCAGACAGTGAAGCATGCTCACTGGCGCCAAGCCATGTCTCATGAGTTTCAAGCTCTTCAATCCCAAGCCACCTGGGAATTGGTCCCACCCTCGCCAACTCAAAACACGTTGGGCTGCAAATGGACATTCAAAACCAAATGAAATTCAGACGGTACAGTTGCTCGCTACAAAGCCAGGTTTGTAGCCTTAGGCTGTAACCAAGAATTTGGTATTGACTACCATGACACTTTCAACCCAGTAGCTAAAATGCCAACGGTACGTATTCTTCTTTTCTTAGCCCTACACCATAACTGGCCATTACATCAACTGGATGTCTCTAACGCATTTCTTCACGGATCCTTAACGGAATCGGTGCACATGAAGCAACCTCCCAGTTTTCTTGACGACAACTTTCCAACACACGTATGCAAGCTCAAAAAGGCCATCTATGGCCTCAAACAAGCTCCACGGAAATGGTTTGAAACTCTAACTGGTTTTCTTCATGAACTAGATTTTACTACCAGTGAGTCGGATACCTCTCTTCTTATCTATCACAAGAATGGTATATTTATATACTTTCTAATTTATGTAGATGACATAATACTGACTGGTAACAACTCTCACTCACTAAATTCCTTACTCACTCGTTTAAATCAACGCTTTAGAATGAAAAATCTCGGTACTGTCACCCACTTTCTTGGCATTTCAGCAAAACCGACGAAAACAGGACTCATTCTGCACCAATCCACCTATGCAGAACAAATACTACAGTGGGCGGGAATGCTCAATTGAAAACCAGTGTCGACTCCTACAACAACCAAATCAACCACGGCTGAGTCGTCAAAGGATTTCGATAATCCCAAACTCTATCGACAGATTGTTGGAGCTCTCCAATATCTTACTCTCACTAGACTTGACCTCACCTATGCAGTGAATCGGGCCTGTCAATACATGCACCAACCGTCGGTCGACCACTTTGAAAAGCTGAAGAGAATTCTGCGATACCTGCGAGGCTCCATATACTATGGCATACCCATATCTCCCGACAATCTTCAACTCAGCACCTACACTGACTCGGACTGGGCAGGAGATGTACATGATCGGAATTCGACTACAGGGTACTGTAATTTTCTGGGATCCACATTGATCTCATGGTGTGCGAAGAAACATAGCACGACTGCGCGATCCTCGACGGAAGGGGAGTATCGGGCGATAGCTACCACTACAACCGAAACTCTATGGTTAAGACAGCTCCTGAAGGAGCTCGATCTTCCTCAAAGCGGTCCCACAACAGTATTCTGTGATAACATCTCCACGATAGCACTTGCAAACAATCCTGTATACCATGCTCGGACCAAACATATTGAGGTCGACTGTCATTTCATCCGGGATCACATCAGAAACAACTCAATACAGATTCATCACACATCGACCAAAGATCAATTAGCTGATATTTTTACTAAACCTTTATCCATATCTCGTTTCAAATACCTTTCTAGCAAACTAATTGTCGACACTGCGACTTCAGTTTGAGGGGGTATATTAACAGATATGAATAAAACATTCAATAATGTATTTCTTAGAATAAGTTAGCCGTACAATCATGTTAAAGAATTGTACGGAGGCAGTTTCCTTTATCCTCTATATAAAGCAATGTATATTGTAAGTACAAAGCAAGAAATACAATTTATTACTTTTCCACATTCTTCTCTCTGGTTTTGTTTCTGAAAAGCTATGGTAAGAACCTGCAGCCTAAAGGCAAATCAGGTTAACATATTGCTCAGTGGCTGATGTTTGTCAATGTGGAGGCGGTGGATAATGCAAAAATCAGTCAGTTACTGGATCATTCTTTGCAATGGAATATAGTTGTGGTAGAAGAGTGTTTTGGAGAAATTATGGCACAGAGGATCCAGAATATTAATAACAATCTTAGTTTGGGAGTGGATTGCCCGGAGCTTTGTCATTCTCGGGCAAGTATGACAATTAAGGCAATGGCTTATCGGGAGATGGTTGGTTAAGGAGATTACAAGTTTTTGTGGATCGATAAGCTGAAGTTACATCCACGCGAGAAGTTTTTCTGGTGGAAACTGTTAAGAAAGGCTATTCCGACATGCTCATGGCTGTTTCGTAGGGGATTGTCAGATTCTTCTCTTTGCCCGTGGGGTTGTGGTAGGGATGAAATAGAGGACCATTGTGCCACTCAATGTGATAAATTGAAGTGCATAATATCCTTGGTAAATGGGGCTTAACTATGCCTGTAGTTAATTCGTTGGAGGAATTGTTGCTGGAGCTGGCTAAACGTGCTGATCGGAATCCTGCGTTGGGATGCATCTATTGTTACTCTGTTTACCATCTAGGCACGCCAGGAACGATATGAAGCAAGGTCGGTCGCATCGTTCCCCTTCGATTATTGCTGCTATGGTACTTTCTCTCTTGCCTAAACCGTATAGATCGCCAATACTGGAGCAATGGAGTGCTTCTCATACTTTCAGGCTACCTTCTCACAAGTTGTGGTGCCCCCCATCCAGGTTGGCTAAAATTTAATGTGGATTCTTCTTTTCTCTCCTCTAATCAGGCTGGGATTGGCATTATTATGCGTAATTATGTTGGTGCATTAATTGGGGCGGCTTGTAGGAGATTTGAACATTGGGATACTTTGCAAGCTGAAGTTCTAGCTGCTGCAGCAATTCTTGAAATTTTGGAGGATTTGATGTTTGAATTAGACAGGATCATCATAGAAGACGATTGCATTACTGCAATCCGGTGGTTACAGCAGTTGAATGACCGTCAGAGCAAGGTCCATTTCATGAAGGATGGTCCAAATCTCTCCTTTCTTATGGACTTTAAACAAGTCCTTTTTCGGTATATACCGCGCGACAATAATAATCCGGCTGACTTCTGTGCTCATTTAGCACTTTTTGGTAACTTTTCGTTTTATGATGTGAATAAGATGAGTTGCCCTCAACACTTTTGTCGTTGTTGAGGGAGGATAGTGATAGGGTTTAGTTTCCTTTATACTGTTGACTTACTTGTAACTACCATTTTGTTTCTTTATAATGCAAATGCAGATATTCAGTTATAGTATAAAAATATTTTAAAAATAGGAAAAAAGTTATGATATAGAGCTATCCCAAACAAAGCCTAAGGCTTTATTTGGGACAACTTTCTTATTGCTTCTTAAAGTAATTTTCTAATAAAAAAATTAATATTTTTATACTTAAAAAAGCTGTTTGAAGAAGCAGTAAAAAAGTCGTCCCAAACAAAACCTATGTCTAAGAATTTTTCAATTCTATTGAAGATTTTAGGGATTTTAGATAAAACTACTAGACAATCTTTGATCCCATGATTCATTATTGGTTATAACCATAATTTATCCCCTTGCTTTTCTTCACTCGCAACCTCTAAGTTATCTTTCCAACATCCATGGATGACCCTCACCCATTTTTTGGCAAATCTTGATTTTTAAAAGGAAAAAAAAAATCTATAAGAAAAAAAAATTGAAGCGGAAGAAAAAGAAAAAAGTTTTAAAACTATATAATTTATACAAATAACAATATATTTTTTTTATCGTTCAATTCTTTTTTTGACAAGCGGGATTGGAAAGAAGACTGATAATCCACACGCTATCAACCACCACAGCCTCATCATCATCATTTCGGTGCCAGCTCCACAGTGCATGGGTACCATTCGCAACCTGCAACTGCCCATGTCCGAAGCTTGCCTCCCTGAACAAAGAGATGCTCGGCTGTGGATCAATGTACTTGTTCGCAAGCCCTTCCCTGTTGCCCCCATCGCCGATTGTGATGTGCAGCGGCCCACATTGGTCCTTTTTGCTGTTATACACAGATGCCTGCACCACATATTACAAAATTTTGCTTCAAAAGCACATTCAAGTTCTCTATGTTGTTTCCACAAAAGTTTTGCAAATAACTCTTATAATCAAGCTAGCGGTTATTATAATTAATCCGCATGAAATTACTACTGATCATCTCTCTCTCATGATGAGAGTTAGTTTTTTCTATGAAGGATCAACTCATGAAAGAAGAAAGTGAAAGGAAAAAGGGAGAGAAACCGTAGTTCGGAATTCAACGATAAACATAAATCAAGGTATGTTTTCTTCTGATTAAAATCTTGTAAAAATCATCTTGTTTAAGATCTTGTGGATTTAAGACTTAAATTCATGTTTTTCATTTTGATTTCTTTTACATAATTTATGATGCGAGTTCTCCAATAGTTAAAGAACTCATAATGCATATTGTGAATTCTTGTAAAACTTAGAGAACTTAATCTTCAAAAATATTATTTAATCTTCAAAATTATTCTTGTAAGAATATGAGATAAACTCTTAATCTCACATGTAAATTTTTACATGTTGTGAGTTCTTACAAGAGTAACAGAAATTGAATCTTACAAAAAGAACACTTACAAAGCGCTCGTAGGCATGGACATGACCAGCGAAAACGGCGTCTACGCGAGCGGCGTAGAGAGTCTCTTCCATAGCCTTCCTCATGTCCTCGCCGTCCCCCTGATGCGCTTTATTGGAATTGTACCATGGAGCGTGTATTAAGGCGAACAACCACTTGGTCTTGGACCGGTCGAGCTTGGTTAGATCAGCTTGCAGCCATTTGAACTGATCGGAGCTGGCGTCGAAGTCGGTGTAGGAGCCGAGCATAAGGACATGTACGGCACTGTCGGCGGTGTCAAACGAGTAAAAAAGGTTTGAAGGGGAGGCGCTTTCCTCGTAGGGCATGTGATATCGGGTGTTGTAAGGTTTGAAGGGGGTGGATTCGATGAGAGGTATGGTTTCAATCTCATGGTTGCCTTCGGTGACCATCCATGGCCGACTACTGGCAAGTGGCTCGACGAGACGGGCATAGGAGTCCCAAGACGGCTGGTTGAGATCGGCGTATGAGAGGTCGCCGGGGAGAAGGAGGATGTCATAGTCGGACTGGGAGATGTGGTTTAGTGTTGAGTTGGTCCAGCCGGTTTGGCCTAAATCACCTGCATGTGATAGTTAACAAGTTGATCAAAGTAGGATAGATGTTTTAATTTTTATGTGTTGAAACATCAATAGAAAATTTTAATGATCGACAATGATTATGCCTTCTCCATGTTTGCTCATATCTATAAAAGTATATATATCAAGAATCAATATGTAAATGCCTCAAGGTATATAAGTAGTTAAATTAAGATTTAAAGCAAGAGATTAAGGTTTCATTTAGGATGGTTTTTTTAATGCTTTATAGTTAAAAATTTTATATTTTAAAGCTAATTTTCAAGTTAAAAAATTCTCCATGTTTGCTCATATCTATAAAAGTATATATATCAAGAATCAATATGTAAATGCCTCAAGGTATATAAGTAGTTAAATTAAGATTTAAAGCAAGAGATTAAGGTTTCATTTAGGATGGTTTTTTTAATGCTTTATAGTTAAAAATTTTATATTTTAAAGCTAATTTTCAAGTTAAAAAAATTTTTATATTAAAAAGTTAAAAAGTTATTTTATTTGGTTCGGTCGACCGAATGAGAGAAACATTCGGTCGCAGGCAAAAATCCCGCGGTACCGAGGTGTACCGAGTTTTTTGAAAAACTCGGTACACCTCGGTACACCTCGGTACCGCGGGATTTTTGCCTGCGACCGAATGTTTCTCTCATTCGGTCGACCGAACCAAATAAAATAACTTTTTAACTTTTTAATATAAAAA